ATATATATATATAGATAGATAGATACACACACATACATACATATAGGTTAGATAACTAATTAATTAAAAAAAGAAAAGCTCTAAAGCATCCAGAAAATCAGTCTATAAAAAGAAAAAAATCAGGAAGACGAAAGATAATGACTTTGCAGAGGAGGATATAACCATGTGAAAAATAAATTACGTTAGTTATATTTAGGATTAGAGAGAGTGTATGTATACCTGGCAGTCAGCCATCAGCAGGTGTCTGGCTAGGCTGTGGTGATTGTGGCTGAGCACCAGCTCCTTTGCTCTCTTCAGAACCGCCATCTCCAGTGGTTTGTTTTCTAGAGGCAGAAGTCGCGAGTCGAACTCTGCTGGCCTGAACATGGACTCCGTCTCTATGACAGGCCGCTGAAAACTACTCCTCTCTTTTTTCCTCCTCTTATCTTTCTCCTCGTCTTTCCCTGCATCTTCATCCTCTTCTTCACTGGTGTTTTCCAAGGCTGCGATAGCATGATGGTAGGAGCTTCTGTCTCCTGCCACCTCCTCCTCCTCTTTCCCCATCTCCCCTTCTCTCTTCAGTCTCTCCACATAGCTGCAGAGTGTTAGCTGAGCTTCACGGCTGTGCTCTGTGATGGGGTTAGCAGAGTTTGACGATTCCCACTCCAGAGGGCTGCAGGACCTCAGGTCTGCAGGGCTGGGCTGCAGTCTTTCACCCTGTCCTGTCTCTGAATCGGGACACTTAGCAGCATCAGCAGGTGAAACTAGAGACCCAGAGGAGCAGCAGGAGTCTGCAGGCAGCCGTAGATGTTGCAATTTCAGGGGCTTCACTGGAGGAACAGGAGGGCCTGCAGTGGCTGTGGAATAACAAACACATCCATCTATAATGTTGCATTTGAAAATAAAAGTCAATATTGATGTAAACAGATGTTTACCATCCAATAATAATCAAATAACTTTGCATAAATATATTTAAAAAAGAAATATAAAATAAAAGGATACCTCCACCCGCCCAGGAAGAATCAGGGGTTTCTACACGTCTGGGCTCCTGTGGAGGTGCAGCCAGTCTGGGAGAGACACAGGAGGTGTCTGAGAGGTTTGAGGAGCTGGAGGAGGGAACTCTAGCCTGAGGACAAGAGGAGTGAGCCAGCCTAGCCAGAGGAACCTTGCTGGGTTTGGGAGGCGGTTTAGGACACAGCTGGCTGTCAGAGCCCCGGATCGCTTGGCCTGGAGGAACACGAGTGCCGTAAAAGTTACACAAAAGCTGTTTTGGCTTTTAAACATATAAAGACTTGGAACGTTTTTAAATATCTAATATTACAACCCCTCTGACTTTTTAACATTTTTAAGATATATTATTATTATATTATTATATTTAAATTCAAATACAATGAAAAGCATGCATCACACTCAGATTTCAGCTATATTATCAGATTGTGAATTAGAGCAGAGAGCCCCAGCAGAACAGGAGGAAAATTCATTGTCTAACATTCAAGCAATGGCAGGAGCAGCCCGGGAGAGTGTATTATATTACACCCACATACTTAGGAAGGCACAACGGCTGATTAATTTTAAAACCCCCACGTGGGCTTTTATTGGCTCTTAGCAAGCACCACACAGTTATTTTTAGCCTGATAATCAGTCCAAACTGCCACTTTGTTTAGCTTCATTATTTCTATACCGTTCAGATGCCTGGACCAAGGCTACTTTATTTCATCCTCGATTGCTATTCTTGTCATTTTTTTCCTCCATCAAAGTGATAAAGTGGTTTTGTTTGCAGGATTAAAAATAAAGAAAGAGGTGAAAAGTACATTTTGGATTTGTCCATAAACTGTCATTATGACGCAGGGCAAACTTGTCATCTTGCATCTAATCTTTATAAATTCATACCAAAACAAAAATTGGAGACATCATCATGATGTTCTCAACAAAATATCAAACTCAATCCCTGGATCAGGCCATCCTTGTCCTTTGGGACTTGATTTATACAACCTGTATAGGGAACTTTTAGTCTTGGCAGAGCTGTGGGTGCTCAGGCTGCTTTTGTTAATTGCAGTTTTTTCTCGATTGTTCTGTTTGTAGCTCTGTGTCTAGCATGAGTGCTGCTCTATACTGTACATTTTATGCACTATGACCAAGCACATCTATTTTAATCTATTTTACAGTTAACATTAAAAGTTAATACTGATAAAGAGGACAGTAATACTACAAATAAAGCCAAACATCTATTTGTATCACATGTCTTGCAATTGTCAGGCTTAATAAACTCTATTAGGGGCGATCGTGGCTCAAGAGTTGGCAGTTCGTCTTGTAATCGGAAGGTTGCCGGTTCGAGCCCCGGCTCAGACAGTCTCGGTCGTTGTGTCCTTGACCAAGACACTTCACCTGTTGCCTACTGGTGGTGGTCAGAGGGCCCGGTGGCGCCAGTGTCCGGCAGCCTCGCCTCTCTCAGTGCGCCCCAGGGTGGCTGTGGCTACAATGTAGTTTGCCATCACCAGTGTGTGAATGTGTGTGTGAATGGGCGAATGACTGAATGTGTAAAGCGCTTTGGGGTCCTTAGGGACTAGTAAAGCGCTATACAAATACAGGCCATTTACCATTTTCTATTATATGAACCAGTATACGTAAAAGTCTTCAGGGATTCGTCTGTATAAACGGAATGATCGCTGAAGAAACTCATCTGTATACTGCTGGTTCTTCTCCACCAAAATATTTGTATACCTGCTAGAGGCTCTGCTGATTTCCGTGGGAAAGAGGGGCTCAGCAGTGGCTCGCTGCCTGTCCGAAACACCGGCGACTTGGAGTTTGGGCTGGGAAGGAGCGAGTCAGGTGTCTGCAGGGGCTGCGGTTTGGATCCTGAAGACGGAACAAAATTACAGAAGATGGAGTTAAAGAGATGAAAGAGAAGATAATGAGACGGTGGGTAAATAGAAATAAATTAAAAAAAAGGTTACAAAAAAAAGGAAAAGATGAGGTGGAGGTGGGGAGGAAAGGAAATAATTTTGTAAAAAAGGCACTGAGCTGATTGGAATTCCCACTTTTGTTTTTGAGGTCTCATATACATTAGATCAGTTTGTAAAAATTAGATACAACAGATACAGAGAAAAATAAAGGATTCAAAATACTTCAAGCCACTAAGATCTATTCATCTCATAGAGATGAGAAAAACCCCCCAAAACAACAGACCTCTGACTTACAGAGAGCACGGCTGCCCTTTGGAGAAAGTTCATTTCTGCTGCTCGTGTCCATGACCTCATTCTTTCGGTCTCTACCAGAGCTGAGGAGTTTGGGTCGAGTGGTAAATCGACAGCTTCGCTTTTACGCTCAGCTCTCTCTGAGTGTTTATTATACAGATGTGTAATTATAATAAAAGGAACAACTAAAACTTTCAGCCTCTCCTCAAAGGTCACACAGCTTTTCAGAACCTCCTAGCTTTTACTTACCAAGAGGAAGGAAGCTTTCTGATTGGTGCGCCTTGAGTGGGTGTCGCCGCTCCTGGACTTGATTGAGACTTGCTGGTTGGCTGCCGCAGCGATCCTTCAACCTGAAGGAGGAGGAAGGGCGATAAAAACATCCCACTCACACATGAGCATCGGATAAACCTCTCACAAATATTTCCAATATAATAATAAAAAGGTACCATTAGTATTAAAAAAAAAAGTAAATCACGTTATAAACACTAATCCTTTCATCCCTTCTTTGACTTTTTAAAAAGCCTTTTCTCTGTCCATATATCCTCTTGTTCATCTCTGTGTTCTGTTTTACTCTCAGCTCTGTATTTATTATCCCCTCACAGCTGGTCTGACCTCTCTCAGATAGATACAGAACCCTGTTTAATGTCTGTGTGCATTGAAATTGCACACAGACAACAGCTCTTCATTTACAGAGGACGTATGATGTGTATGGGACATGTGTATGTGCGAACTTCAGTCAGAACGATTGAATGTAAACAGCTCAGTGCAAAGAGTAAAACCTTAAAAGCAGAACGATGTGTGGAGTTGGAGACAGTGCAAAGGTGGGTCTCTACTATTCAAACACAGCAGACAGATTGGTATTTGGTCTGTAGCCCACTATCCACTTGCAGTAATAGGCTTATATTAATCAAATCCAAGAAATCTCACATGCTCAGTGGAACAACAACCACGTTATGAGAGCCAGCGAGGAATTACAGTGTTCAGGTGTTAATTAGTGTGTTTGCGTGTGTTTCTAGAGTGCAAACCTGAGCTGGCTGCCTCGGGCAATGCCATTGTCCTGGCAGTGTGTGCTGTCGTGCATGGCCTGTGTGTTGTCGTATGTGTGTCCGTTGGTAATATTGAGGCTGAGGCGTTTCTGGTTCCGCCTCTCCTGCGACATCAGCCTCTCCCGGTGACTGCTCGACAGTCCGTGCTTTTCCTCTAAGCAGCGCAGCGGCAGCCCCCGGTTGATTGGCTGGAAGATGATGGCCCCTACCACCTTCAATGTGTGGGCGGAAGAACAGATAAGGTGACCTAAAGAAACCTCAACATATTTTATTTATCTGCGACTATATTTATCTCACAAGCTTGAAACTCTTAGCACTTAAACACAACTTACTATTAACTACCAAAACTTTTTCTTTTATGTGCTATAATGAGGAAAACCACCAACCAGAACAATAACAGTATAAAATAAACTTTGAAGCAAGATTAATTAAAAGAAAAATAGTGACTAAACCCACCTGTGAGACAGGTTTTCTGTTGCCAACATAGTATCTGATGAGTGCAGGGATGCTGTCGAACCCTTCTCTGTCTAGGCGGTACTCAACTCTGGAGTAAGCTTCATTCAGCATCACGACCTGAAGGCGACAGGCAAAATAACAGACCTAGCTATTGTACCTTTTATATACTCTAGTCAAATATTCATCTCAGTGTAGCTGGAAGTTCATATGTACCTTCTTGTTAATTTTAAAGTGCTGAGCAGTGTTTCGCCATTGGCATGTGAGAACGTAACTTCCTGGTAAAGACAGCGAATCACGGATCAGGAAGTCTCCATCTCGCTGCACCAGGTTTTCTGCAACCTGCAAAAAGAAATAAGTGACACACGGGCACACTCAACTTTACGCAGCCATGACATTAGAGGACTTTACGTTGTCTCACTCACTTCCTGGTGACTTACCGTTAACGATAACAACTACATGCCTAACCGTTACCCTTACCTTAACCTTAAGACTTGTCCTAACCTGAAAATTCATAGATGATGTTGGCCCCTGAGAAAGCCCAGCCTGCATCACGTGACTGTTCAAACAGATTTAGGAGCCCATAATAACCGGCCCACACACACACGAACACCTACAGTGGCCCACAGTGATTGTTTACAATACAAACGTTTAATGGTAGGCTAGTACCAGCTTTGCGAGCTTAGTGATGGTTATGTAAGACATGAGGACCATTCCAATTTATCCAGTTAGTGACCTAGACGCTTAAGGGACAGTTTCATGTAGAATCACATTCATTTCACGCTAAAACCTTTATATGGGAAATCAAAATAATAAAGCTTTAATCCAGAAAACTTTTCAGTGTTTTTGTGCATCTATCAATGCACAAGTCAAATGACAACATTTTTGACAAGCTTGATCCCTGTTTATCATTTACCACAGAAAAAATGAGACCTATTATCAAAGTAACTCGGTGGTTAAAAATTAGTCTTCTATTATGGAAAGAAAATTAAGCCTTTTCTTTCCATAAGAGATCTCAAGATTGTCATTCATGACCTCATCTCCTCCTCCTGGACTACTGCAAATCACTTTACACGGGTCTCAGTCAGTTGTAGGCTCCTCACAGGCACCCGAAGAAGAAGAAGAAGAAAAAAAGAGATCGTATTTCACCTGTTTTAGCTCCTTCCAGCTCAGTCATTTCCTTCAAATGACTGATAAAACTAGACTGAACACATATATTTATTCATTGGCTATTGATTCTTATGGTCATTATATGTGCCTATGTAAGCCATGACTGTTTATATTTACCACCTACTAGCATGTATTTTACTTATTTTTATCCATTCTGTCTTTTAAAGAGCACCTTGGCCAGTGTCAACTGTTGGATGTGTTATAAAGTATTATAAAGCACTGTTAAATGCACTTTAAAAATAAATTTGACTTTCATTTATTATATGATTAAAAAAAAGGATATTTCTTTGACCGTTTACACATGCAGTGCTCTTTATTTCCCTGCCTTGTTTCATTTATTGGTTCTCGCTCGCTCTTCTCGAACACATACACTCTGTCATCCACAGTTTCAGACTTTAATTAAGCAAATGTTTGTATAAGTTAGAACGGTGGTTTAGTTTAGCCAAGGGAAGCAGCTTATTAAAAAAGATTACATCTCAGTGCTGGTTTTCAGGGGAACACACAAGATCTCTCTCTCACATATGCGCGCACACACAACACACATAAACACACCATACAGAATGAAGCCTTTCTTTCTGTCAGCGCTGCTGCAGGGGCCACTCTTTACGCAACAGTCTTCCTGTAAGCACCATGTGTGTAGCATGGAAGGCTAATAATAGGTAATCTGGTTCAACAAGTTTCTAATCTGGCTTTTAAAAGGAGGGACTTGTGACTCAGATTTGTGTGCGAGCAGTGTTACCTGTCTGGGAATCGATCCGTGGTACCACGCGTGACTTCTCGGCTCCTCGCAGTCCATCTTCAGTTCTTCCTCGAGCTCCTTGCGAAGTTTCTCTGAAGGACAGTCCAGGATGAACTGATCTCTGGAGAACTGGAATAAAAGCAGAAAAAGCTGATCTTGTAACTTTATCCTGCATAGCTGAGAAACCCAAAGACAGACGACAGAAATTCAACATCCACATATTTAATTAATTTATTTATTTTAACAAAGTAAAAAAGGAAGCAGGAACAAATAGGAAACTTATGACTGGTTTGTTTAAAGTCGCCTCTGCTGTTCTACAGTAAAACAACACCAAATAAAACACCGCAGAGCCGGGATAGGTAGAAACCAGGACTGTAATCTAATTCCAGTGAGATTACTGAAACTATTGATCAGCCACTTTAATCCCAGCAAAGCCCAAAAAGGTTGCCTAAATGGAAAGTAAAGGACAGACAGCTCTGTTAACCCTGACGGGATGTCGAGTCAACACAACCACCTGAACCACAACACACACACCCCAAACACCACACACACACACACTTACATGACAGCTGCTTGGTCTCTCCATCCTGCCACCTTTCTCTGATCTTCAATAACAAACTTCATAGCAGACACATTAAAACTCACACACACTATAGTTAAGTCTCTTCTGTTTGCTCAAACAACAAGCCCGCACACAGCCTCTGTCTGCGTCTGCCTCCTCTGTGATTTTCTCCTTTATCACTTCCTTTCTTGCCTTCGTCCAGAGTCGTTCAAAGAAATGTCATCATCCTGACACCGCCCAGCTACCCAGACCGGCCTCTATGCACACCTTCACCTAACGTAGACTAGTACACGCACGCACACGCACCCACAGACACACACACCTCTGAGTGACGCATAAACTTATCTAAACTAAACCTTTTTTCTTTTTAACCCATTAGAGACTGCTACACTCAGTCAGTTTATTCTATACTTTTGCATTTCAACCATTTAAATGTCAGTACAAATGTCTTGAGCTATTTATTTATCCAAGCAGCAGGACTTTATTATAATTTTTTTCAAATGGCCCAGAGCAATATTCCTCCAGACGTTCTGAAGGGATGTCCAAATGGTTCTTTGGACATTGGCTGCTTTTTCACTCATTTGCACTCTAGTCCAGTGGTCCCCAACCTTTTTTGCGCCACGGACCGGTTTATGCCCGACAATATTTTCACGGACCGGCCTTTAAGGTGTCGCGGATAAATACAACAAAATAAAACTAGTACCGGTACCGAAAAAAAAGAAGATTTATTCATAACACACGTGAAAAGACCCAGGGACACCGAGTTAACGATAAAAACGATAACAAAATAACGCTGAAAGCCGATAAAAACCCTGAAAACCATACATTTCACACCTGAGCCTCAACTCTCGCGGCCCGGTACCAAACAACTCACGGACCGGTATCGGTCCGAGGCCCGGGGGTTGGGGACCGCTGCTCTAGTCCTTGTATCCGTCACTGACCTCACTGACCTGCATAAAACACCTAACTGTATGGACAAACCAGTGTTGTGTCTAAACAACACTGGCTGTGTAGACATAACACTGGTTTTATGCTGGTTGCATGTTTGTCAAACTGCATCTAACACAGGTTAGTATTAAAATTGTATTTTCATACCAACAACTGATTCCTAAAGGGTTATACGCTGAAAACATGGAATGTCTTGGCATGTTGTGCAGCATGTCCATGAAAAAAAAAATGTTAGGAAAAATGGAACATAAAAAAGTGTAAAGCCTAAAAATTCCCTGCAGCATGAACAGTATCTGAAAGTCATGTACTTTCAGATACTGAAAGTACATGACTTGCGGTGCTACTTGTACGGCCGCAAGTAAAGTACTACTTGTGGCCGGTCCAGACGGAGTACCTGGCAAGGTACTAAGAGCATGTGCCCACCAGCTCACCCTCATCTTCACCAGACTCTTCAACCTCTCACTGGATCAGGCAGCCATCCCATCCTGTCTAAAATCAGCCACAATCATCCCAGTGCCGAAGAAGTCTCCCATCTCCAGCCTGAATGATTACCGCCCTGTGGCCCTCACACCGGTAATCATGAAATGCTTTGAGAGACTAGTCCTTCAGCACATCAAGGATTACCTCCCCCCAGAATTCGACCCCCACCAGTTTGCATACCGCACAAACAGATCCACAGAAGATGCTATCGCCACAGCCCTCCACGCTGTGCTGAGTCACCTAGAGCAGCGGCAGAGCTACGTCCGAATGCTCTTCCAGCTCAGCCTTTAATACAATCATCCCGGACATCCTCATCACCAAACTGGTCGCTCTTGGCCTCCCTCCTCTCACATGTGCCTGGATAAAGGACCAGACTGTAAAACTCGGCCGTCATCTCTCTTCCGCTCGCACACTGAGCACCAGCTCCCCACAGGGCTGTGTGCTGAGCCCCCTCCTGTATTCTCTCTACACCCACGACTGCAGTCTGACCCACAACAACAATCTCATCATCAAGTTTGCCTCGTCTCCCTTTGAGATGAGTCCGACTACCGTGGTGTCATCAGCAGAGTACAGAGAGGAAGTCCTGAAGTTGGCAGCCTGGTGTTCAGAAAACAACCTGGCACTGAACACTAAGAAAACCAAAGAGCTCATTGCTGACTTCAGGAGACACAGCACTGACTTGGCCCCCCTTTACATCAACGGGGAGTGTGTGGATGTGTGGAGAGGGTCCACACCTTCCGGTTCCTTGGTGTCCTCATCTCTGCTGACATCTCCTGGACAGACAACATCTCAGCGGTCATCAAGAAGACCCAACAGTGGCTGCACTCCCTGAGAGTCCTCAGGAAGTACAAGCTGAACTCCAACCTGTTGCTGACCTTATACCGCTCATCCATTGAGAGCCTGCTAACCTACTGCATCACGGTATGGTACGGCAGCTGCACCAAGGCGGATAGAGTGAGGCTTCAGAGTGTGGTCAAGACAGCACTGAGTTTGCACTGAGTAGGAGATGCTCTGTATCTCATTGTACAACTGTATATTGACAATAAAGGCATTCTGTTCTATTCTATTCTACTTAAGAAGTAGGGGGAAACAGCAAAGCCCCTAAGAGAAGCAACTTGCCCTTTAAGTTGATCTACTGTTCACCGAAGCCTCATCAGAAATGGTCTCTGTGGCTGTCAGAAAGTCCTTATTAACTGAGGGAAACAGGGAGAATAGGGCTGAGGTTTTGCCAAATTACACAAGAACTGGACTGAAAGTCTGTGGCAACAAGACTTGTAGAGCGATGGATCCAAATTGGCAACTTTTAGTTAAAATTGCTGTCAACGTGGTCCGAAAAAAGGAGAGAGGTACCACAAGGAGCGTCTACCTCCATCTTTAAAACACGATGGAGGATCTGTCAGGGTTTGGGATGCGTTTGTGGTGCCGGGGATATTGTTACAATTGAATAAATGTAGAAAAGAATCATCAGATTTTTTAGCATGACAAACACTGCCAATGTAATGATGATGATGATGATGACCAAAGTTAGGCAACTGTTATGATGATGATAAATACATATTTACATGTCTCACAGCCTCTGGGGTAACAGTACTGGCTCAGGTTCAGGTACAGTTACAGGTAATGTTTCAACTGACAGTCAAATGAGAGCTAGGAAAAGAGAAGAAGTTTGATGAAGAAGAAGAAGAAGAAGAAGAAGAAGAAAGAAGAAGAAGAAGAAGAAGAAGAGAAGAAGAAAAGAAGAAGAAGAAGAAGAAGAAGAAGAAGAAGAAGAAGAAGAAGAAAAGAAGAAGAAGAAGAAGAAGAAGAAGAAGAAGAAGAAGAAGAAGAAGAAGAAGAAGAAGAAGAAGAAGAAGAAGAAGAAGAAGAAGAAGAAGAAGAAGAAGAAGAAGAAGAAGAAGAGAAGAAGAAAAGAAGAAGAAAGAAGAAAGAAGAAGAAGAAGAAGAAGAAGAAGAAGAAGAAAGAAGAAGAAGAAGAAGAAGAAAGAAGAAGAAGAAGAAGAAGAAGAAGAAGAAGAAGAAGAAGAAGAAGAAGAAGAAGAAGAAGAAGAAGAAGAAGAAGAAGAAGAAGAAGAAGTTGTTGAAGTTTGAGGTAGAACACTGAGGAAAAAAGCAAACACGCTCACACAGACAGGAATTACTAATCCATGTCCATGCAGGAAACTTGGAATATCATATCTGTGCCATTTTTATCTCTCTGCGGCTACACTAGCTCTCTTCCTCTCTAAAGTCATTAGAATAGACCCCCTGCCCCGAGTCTCCATACATGACAGAAAATCAAAGCGTCACATTACAGCAAATATTAAACTGATCACTGGCTTGGCACCATGGTGCACATCCAACAATTTACTTTCTTTCCAGTTTGAACCAGAAACACTGTGTGTGTGTAGCAGTGGAAAATACTTGGGGCGGTGTAATTGTGCTGTCACTTAGTCTCCCGGGCTCGTGTTTTTTTCCTGCCATTTTTTAAACAAAAGATTCAATGAGTAAGTAAATGATAACAGACAGTCTGAATTACACGATCATTTTATTGGAGCTTTCTCTTATCAATCAACATTAACAGTTGGTGCCATTGGAGTAAGCTAATGGTCTATCTAACATCTGACTGACAGACAAACATTTGCTCATAGATGCACTTTTTGTTGTTATATTTACTTATAGATCATCCATAGCTATTTGGATATGTCTCCGACAGGGACAACACGTGGACAGAGATAGGCTGGGACCAAATTACAACTCCAAATTCACGCACCTTTCTTTTGTCTCACTTTTTGTTTTGCTTTTAATCATTTTCTTTCCTTAGGTGCTGTGATGTGTTAAAACAGGATACACTACACCCATAACGCACGGCTTGCAGCATGTTTTTCCTGTTGTACGGGCATTGCGCAACAATTTTAAAATGCACATGATCAACTGTAATAACTGAAAACACGACGGCTGCTGGTTTGTATTATTCCCAGCTTATCTGGATTTGTTACCGACTCCACTCGCATTTGTGATTCTCACACTTATTTCAAAAGACACAATACGTTGCTTTTACGTCGGCAGTCTCAGTGCCAACAGACTGATGAATGAAAGCGCGGGAGAGCTGGTGAGAAGAGGGATGCATGGCAGCGGCAAGGATGACATGTACATATAAAGT